AGAGAGAGAGAGAGAGAGAGAGAGAGAGAGAGAGAGAGAGAGAGAGAGAGAGAGAGAGAGAGAGAGAGAGAGAGAGATGGCGTCAGGAGGAGGCCAGGGCAAAGGTCCGGACTCGGATCTGGCACCTGTACTTCAGCAATTGAACATTGCGGCCCTGCGGTCCCGGGTAACAGAGCTGCAGAACACGGTGGATCGTCTTGTGAAAACGTTCTTTGCCCAGCCTAATAGTATGAAGTGGGCAGACGTTTTGGGCCAGTTTGCCATCGTCAATGCACAGCTGTACAAACTGGTGGAAGATATGAAACCAGTGATGAAGATGTTTCTGGTGCACCCGAAGGATGTGTCTGCCGAGAATGCAGCGATTCTTCCAATCATGCTGTCCTCAAAGCTTTTGCCCGAAATGGAAGCCGAGCAGACACTGATGACAGATCAGCTGCTGGGTTCAATGGCAGGACTTCCTCCTAACGTTATGGAAGAGCGGTTGCAACTCGAAAAGCAAATGAAAACTGTCTGCGATAAAGCTGAGAAGTTAATCAACGACTTGGCCAAAGCGTGGTCTTTGAAGTCCCGACAAGGACCGAATGCTGGGAACTGGCCAAGACTGGATGCTGTGCAAGCGGGGAGAATCGCAGAGCAGGAGAAGCTGATAAGAATGGGCATGATGTCGGGCGAAGGCTTGCGTTTGCCTCCTGATCAGAAGGAGAGACCTGCAGTGCTGCCGAGCCACCTGGCGCCACGTCGGCCCTTAGTGTCAGGCGGCAGCATGCCAGATACCAGCCGAGTATCAGGCGCCGTAGATCCCACTGGGCCGGGTCTCCCTCGACCTCCGTTGGGATCTGTAGGACATGGAGGTCCCTTAGCAGCCAATTCTCCTGCAAATAGAACCATTGCCATGTCTGTGCCTTCTGGGTCGGCGGTGTCTGGCGGCACCCCTGTAGGAACCCCGGGCACTGTTCAAGCGGGGATGATGGGCCCATCAGTGTTGGGAGGAGCTTCCCCAAGGCCTGGCCTGGTGGCTCTGTCAAGCCAGGCAGGGACCCCTGGGCATGTGAGCGCATCTGGGCATGCTGGAACTCCTTCCTCTGTTGTGACTGGTGTGGCCTCCCCCCATGTCGCATCTCCTAGGATCGCGTCACCGAGGATCGCATCCCCGCGCCCGGCCTCTCCCATGCAGGGGGTCCCTATGGCTCATGCTTCTCCCTTGCAGGGGGTCCCTTTGGCCCATGCCTCTCCCATGCAGGGTGTTCCCATGGCCCATGCTTCTCCCTTGCAGGGGGTCCCTATGGCCCATCCTTCTCCCTTGCAGGGGTCATATATGCCCCATCCTTCTACCATGCATGGGGTACCTATGGCCCACCCGTCTTCCATGCAGGGGCTGATGGCGCACCCTTCTCCCATGCAAGGGGCGATCGGTGGTCATGCTTCGTCCATGCCAGTGCCTGTGGGACATGCCTCTCCCATGCAGGGACCCAGGAGTGGGCATGCTTCTCCCATGCAAGGGCCTATGGGTGGTCATGCATCCCCCATGCAGGGGGCCATTAGTGGTCATGCGTCCCCCATGCAGGCGGCCATCGCCGGTCAGGCCTCTCTGATGCAGGCGCCCATAGCTGGTCATGCTTCTCCCATGCAGGGGCCAATGGTGCCATCGCGGGTCATGCCTCCCATGGGCCATGCATCACCCATGCAGGGACACATTGCTGGACATGCTTCGCCCATGCAGGTGCCTATGGGTCATCTTATGAATGTGCCGTCGAGTTCAGTTGTTAGTTCGCCGTTTGTGCAGGCCTCCCCAGGAGCATCCTTGTCAATTCCACACTCACCGGTGCAATCTGCCGGAACACAAACTGTGCCTGGAGTAACCCTCAATGCCCCCTCTGGGTCTGTGGGTGGAGTGGGTATGGTCAGTGCAGCACAGGGTGGCATGGTGTTTTCTGCAGTACATGCGACTTCCTCACCAGCAAAGCGTCCAGCTGCACAACTTTTGCAGCACCAGCAGCAGCAACTACCACCCCCACAGCAGCAGGCAGCCAAGAGGATGAAGTCGCAGAAGGCGCAATTACAACAGCAGCAGCTTCAGCAGCAACAACAGATACAGCAGCAGCAGCAGCAGTTGTCTCAGCAGCAACAACAATTGCCTCAGCAACAACAATTGCCTCAGCAACAACAATTGCCTCAGCAACAACAATTGCCTCAGCAACAGCAACCGCAGCAGCAACAGCAACCGCAGCAGCAGCAGCAGCAGCAACTCCAGCAGCAGCAGCAGCAACTGCAGCAGCAGCAGCAGCAGCAGCAGCAGCAACTGCAGCAGCAACAGCAACAGCAATACCAGCAATTGCAAAGGCTGCCAAAGTTAGCTCAGCAGTCAGTGATGCCTCATCAGCAACAAGTGCAGGAAGCATGGCAGCAGCAGCAGCAGCAGCAGCAGCAGGCACCGCAGCAGCAGCAGCAGCAGGCACCGCAGCAGCAGCAGCAGCAGGCACCGCAGCAGCAGCAGCAGCAGCAGCAGCAGCAGCAGGTGCTGGAGCAGCAGCTGCAACTGCAGAAGATGCAGCAGCAGCAACAGCCATATCAGCAGATCCAGCAGCAGAGTCAGGTACAACAACAGCCACAACAAGTGCAGCCACAATTTCAGCCACAATTTCAGCCACAGATACAGCAGCAGCAGCAGCAGCAGCAGCAGTCAACCCAGCAATCACATCCCCACTTGCAGCAGCAACACCAACAGATCCAGCAACAACAACAGATTCAGCAACAACAACAGATCCAGCAACAACAACAGATCCAGCAACAACAACAGATCCAGCAACAACAACAGCTTCCGGTGCAGCAAAGGCAGCAGCAGCCTGCTATTCAACAGCAGCAGCCACAGGTGCAACAGCAGCTTTTCCAGCAACAGCAAATGAAAAGCCAACAGCAGCTACATCATCTACAACAACAATTTCAGCAGTCTGAGAGATTGCAGCAGCAGCATGGTCAGCAGTTGTCACAACAGCAGCATCGCCAGCAGGACCAGCAAATGGATCCACAACAAGCACAGCAGCAGCAGCAGCAGCAGCTGTTTCTTCAGCAGCAGCAGCAGCAGCAGCAACTCCAGCTTCAAAAGCAGCAGCAGCAGCAGCAGCAGCAGCAGCAACCACCACTTGACGCCCAACAACAACTCCGATCCACAGGTCAACAACTACCCATGCTGCAGCAGCCACCACCGACTCAACAGTTACCCCACCAACTGCCTCAGCAACAGTTTCAGCAGCAGCAGCAGCAGCAGCAGCAGCAGCAGCAACCACCACCCCAGCAACTTCAACAGCAGCAACAACAGCTCCAGCAGACCCATCAATGGCAACAGCAGCAGCTGCTGCAGCAACAAGAGCAATCGCTCTCTATGCAGACTATGCATCATGCCACACAGCAGCCGGCAGTGGTGCAGGGTATGTCTGGACAGGTTCGAACTCAAGTTAGCGAGGCCACTGTCACAGAAGGAACAATGTCAACCCAGGGAGTGTCTTCTCAAGCCACTCCGGCATCAGGAATGTACTCTATGGCAAGTGTTTCCATTGCGGGCACAAGAGGTACTTTGCAGCGAACAGGAATGGAGTCGTTGCTGTACCATGAGCCACAGTCGCTGCAGCAGAGCTCAACTGTCCCCTTATCTCTTTCTGCACAGCAGCAGCAGCAGCAGCAGCAACAACAACAACAGCAACAACAACAGCAGTACGTGGGGCAGGCGGCATCATATGGATCTATGTTTGTGGCCGACCAAGCGAACGTCCCATACAACCCGCAGGCACAGCAACCCCCTCAACGATAGCCATTTGGATGGTTGCGTCCCCTTTCCTTCCCCCCAAACACCCCCCCTCTGTGTTGACTGATGAGCGGATCCTGTGCCAGCGTTCACCTTTCTTTGAGTGTAATATTGCTCCCCAATCTTTCTCTGACATTCATAAATTCATCCTGTAGAACCAGCATGTTGCAAGTGTCCTCTCTTCTGCTGCAGTCCTAGTATTAGCTGTCCGCCGCCTCACAGTAACAGCAGCCTGCAATCAGTGCAGAAGTGCTGCTCTGTTTTTTTTTTTTTTTTTTTTTTTTTTCCGTTTGGCAGCAGTGTTGTTTGAAATTTGAAGACCTCAATGTTATCTATCTCCGTAATTGTTATTCATCTCAGTAAAGCACAATTCAATCATAATGCCCCTTTTTTTTGGCTTTGGTTTGAGCAGTTAGAAGGGCTTGTATGTGGCACTGGCTCAACAAGGGGCAGGGTTCGTGAAGAGTGCTGCTACACTTTGGTGAAGCACTTTACAAATTGCTCATTTGAAGCCATGCCCCTTCAAAATAGTGCGCAGGACGTGGACTTAACTGTGGAGTAACCTGATGCGCACCCGATGCCCTCTTTTCCATCGGGGGGGAAATTTCTTTTTTTTCTTTTCGTTTCTTTCTTTTCTGATCCTTTGGATCCTCGGAAGGATTTGAACTGATGATCTGTCGATTAACAGTTCCTTACATGAGCGTTCCGTTCAGCCACATGGGCTGGGTTCACATGTGTGTATCATTCAGCCGCATGCCACATCGTTAGAGGAAATGCCAACCCATGGAGAGAGGCATCTGTGCACGATGGTCGAGATGACATAGTCTTCTTGCCTGTAACGAGTTGCTGGATCTTTGTGTGTGTGTGTGTGTGTGGTGCTGTATTTTTGTTAATTCGAAGGTTTTAACATTTAAAAGCATTGGCTAATCCTTTTTTTTTTTTTTTTTTTTTTTTTTTTTNCCATGCTGATCTTCTCTCTCTGTATCGTTCCAATTTTAACGGATGTCGCGCCGATAGGCTTAAATATTGAACTGCTTCTGCTGTGATTTGTGCATACTGACACTGAACTTTTTCTTTTCGTTCTTTTTTTTTCTTTTTCTTTTTTTACTGAACTGTTTTTGTGGTGTTACCTAGTTTGCTTTGCTAGTTTGCATTCGGCACAGGCTTCGATGGTTGGCCAACCTCCTTTCCTATGCCTCTTCTGGCAAAGTGGTCGTTTTTGCTCTCTTGGGAATGCGTTTGTCGTGAAGGGGATGAACAGCCTGATGACAGCGATGCCAGACTCAGTGTTCTGTTGGCAGTGGGACCGCTGCTGGGACTGCAGTGTCTTTGCTGGAACTTACTGGTACTTGCTGGTACACGCTGGCACACGCTGGCACACGCTGGCACTTACTGGTACTTGCTGGTACTTGCTGATACATGCTGGTACTACTGCCGGTAGTACTTCTGGTACTACTGGTGGTACTACTGGTGGTACTACTGGTGGTACTACTGCAGGTTCTTGGTGGTACTGCTGCTGGTACTTGCTGCTGCGGCTGCTGGTACTTGCTGGCAATTGCTGGTTCTAACTGCTTCCACTGCTGGTAGTTGCTGGTACTACTTCTGGTACAGCTGCCGGTTGTTGCTTGCTGGTTTTCGCTGGTGCTACTGCTGGTTCTTGCTGCTATGCGACAGCAGGGGGGCACCTAGACGTTTGTAACCCCCTACCTGGGGCCGCCCACCCCTGGTAGGCCAACCTGACCTCAGCCCCATGTTCGTTAATGGGCACGATGCCATGGATAGCTGGTTAGGGTTTAGGGTACTGGTGGTTGAACGTTTCAGCTGCGACAGCTACTGCTGTTCTTAACTACTGTTACTGCTGTTCTTAACTACTTCTTAGCTACTGTTACTGATGTTCTTAACTACTGTTACTGATGTGCTTAACTACTGTTACCCATGTTCTTAACTACTGTTACTGCTACTTAACTACTGTTACTCTGCTACTTAACTACTGTTACTGCTGTTCTTAACTACTGTTACTGATGTTCTTAACTACTTCTTAACTACTGTTACTGATGTTCTTAACTACTGTTACTGATGTTCTTAGCTACTGTTACTGATGTTCATAACTACTGTTACCTGCTTCTACAGCTGTTTCATGCTGTTGTTAACCACAGCGGTCACACAGCGGTCACTGCTGCGAACTACTGCTATTACTGCTGTTAATTACCATTACCTGCATCTACAGCTGTTAACTACTGTTGCTAGCCACAGGTTCTACCGTCTTCACCTGAGTAGAATGCCTGGTCATTATCGCTGTATCTAGACTGAAAGTCACCGCAAATGCAGCTGCTATTATTAACTGGGCATGCTACTCGGGTAGGTGCTGTACCACTGCTGCTGCTGCCGCCCGCTGCTGCCTCTCATCTCTCTCTGCTGCAGCCGCTGCTGCTCCTGATAAACTTGCTGTTAACTACTGTTGCTTCTTTTTTTTTTTTTCCCATCCACAGGTTCACCTATGGAAACCTTGTTACGACTTCTCCCTCCTCTAAATGATAAGGTTGGATGAACTTCACGCAGCACCCCAAGCAGCGAACCGCCGAGATCGATACACTTCACTGTGATCCAGACACCTCACCGGATCATTCAATCGGTAGGAGCGACGGGTCCGTGCTGCTATCTACTGCTGTTAGCTACTGCGGGTGATTAGGGTTTAGGGTTTAGGGTTGAGGCTTTGGACAGAAACAAGACAAGCAGGGGTTAGAATGCCAGGGATTTCACGATGCTCATATGCGAGGTTTAGGGTTTAGACAGAATTGGTAGCAGTTGCAGTTGCAGCTTCTCAGACCTTTCTTGCTATTCATGTTTTATTTGACAGGTTCTTATAGTAGTCCTGAGAGGAAAGGTGGAAGCAGGGCAAGCTGACGGTCAATCCTCCATGATGTTGGAGCAATCAATGCTGATCAGGGTTCCTTCGGCCAGACGGAAGGAAGCGTGAGGGTGTCCTATGATTTAATTATTTTTCCCGACTTGCCGGTGGAATAGGAACCGGACTGATGCTCCCTGGAATGGAAATGGAGCCAGGGCCATAAGGACCTGTTTTATTTAAAAAAAAAAAAAAAAAAAAATCCCTCCCACTCTTCGTTAGGGAGAAACGATTCCTGCCCCTACGATAGGGGAGTGTGAGGTTCGGTAGGGCTCGTGCTGCTAACTACTGCTGTTAAACCACCAGTACCTACCGGTTGGGGCGACCGTGAACGTGGAAAGCCAAATCTTCCTGGCCCTGCGGTCCACATTCGTGCGGTAGGGCCCGTGCTGCTAACTACTGCTGTTAAACCACCAGTACGTACCGGTTGGGGCGACCGTTAATGCGGAAGCCGAATCGGCCTGCCCCTGCGGTCCAAATTCATTCGAGGCCGGGGGGTACGAAAAATGCGGTAGGTACTGGTGGTTTAAGTACTGATGGTATTGCACTACTGGTAGTGATGGTATTACTACTGCCACTCCCACTCCCCTTCGAGGGACTGTTGAAAGGGCCGATTCCTGCTCATTGGACTATGTTAGAATTTGAAAGGGCATTTCTTAAACCACCAGTACTCGGCCCACACATCGGCCGCGGGGCCCTCTCCACGACTCTCGGGGGTCGTAACCGCGATGAAGGCTATTGATAAGATTTATCAACGGCCTACAGGTCTCTGAAGTCGCGGTGCGTCAATGTGAAAGCGCCAATGGCCGATGTATGGGCCAAGTACTGGTTGTTTAAACCACCACTATCTTTGCCGGGCAACACCGAGAATCGAGAAGGTATAAGCATTCTCATTTGCAATATACGATGAATCTGGTTTTGCGAGGACAAAAACAAAAAGCAGAAAAAAGAAGAAAAAGGACAGAACATGTAAGCATTCCGGGTGGGTTTTCCGGATGAACATTGCTACCAAACCGCAACGGCAGGCAGTGACAGCCGAAAGGGACACAGCTGGCAGCCAAAAGTTCCAACGGCAGGCGGCGCTGGCACTTTGGCAAAGCTTGGCTCGAAGCTCTTTTCCTCCTCGGCAGAAAGAGGCTCGGAGCCTCGGAGGTAGTGGTGGCTTAAGTTGTGTTTGCTGGCATTCCGATTGAAGGACGCCTCAGTGACACAGCTGAGTAGAGTCCTTCATCAGTTCCTGCGCGGCACTTCCTCAAGGTGATGGTAATCTGTCCTGGAGGTGGTGGCAATCGTTTAGATAATGCTGCTGGCTTCACACGTTGCGGCTGCTACGAACTGCCGTTACTACAACACTCTGCATTCGGCGCGATCGATCGTGGTTCTAACTCTGGTCTGTATCGATCGTGGTTCTAACCCTGGTCTGTAGCAATCGTGGTTCTAACTCTGGTCTGTAGCAATCGTGGTTCTAACTCTGGTCTGTAGCAATCGTGGTTCTAACTCTGGTCTGTATCGATCGTGGGTCTGTAGCAATTGTGGTTCTAACTCTGGTCTGTAGCGATCGTGGTTTTAACTCTGGTCTGTATTGATCGTGGTTGTAACCCTGGTCTGTAGCAATCGTGGTTCTAATTCTGGTCCTTAGGAGGAGGGATTGCACTTAAAAACTCGCGTCTGTAGAAATTGTGGACTAACTCTGTCAGGTCGGCATATTGACTGCAGGGCGGAGTCGATGTTGTTGCTGCTAGATAACCAAGCTCCTTCCTGTGGTTTGTAGCTTTCGTAGGAATTGTGCTAACTCTGGTTTGTAGCTTGGCCCGTCAACGAAGTGTTACGCTGAAAGTCAATTCTTCGCTGCAATCGTTATTTTTAAATTTCATTTTTTATTCTAAGGTTGGTGAAGAATTTCGACGTGACTCTGAGGCAAAAGTTGTTCAGTTTATTTTTCTGCATANTTTTTCTGCATAACAATAGTTTTTGTTTTTTTCGGATTTTTAAACTTTTTTTTTTTTTTTTTTTTTGTTGTTGTTGTTGGGACCTTCCCTGGTCCTTGCACGGGCTGGCCACCCGGTACCCGGGCGCCCCGGTTGGTAGCCTAGGTTAGAGTAGTAAAAAAATTAACGATTGCAAAAATTAACGATTTTTTTGCTGGCATCCTGCCAACCACAGGGTTACCCTGCCAGGTTTGGCAGTGTCTGGACGGCTCGGCGGGTTTTTGTTATATGCTTTGACCCCAGGCTGTGTATTTGCACGAGTGCGTTGTTGAAAGGCAGCCGCTTGTCGCGAAACCATTGGGACCTCTACTTTCAGGACACTGACTTCCTGTGGAGAAACAAGTGCACCTGCCCACAGAAGTTTGCGAAGTACAGTGACAAATATATGTAATATGTATGTATACATTTGTATAGTGATGGATGAATTGCTGGCGAACGTGGGAAGATGCACTTGTTTCGTTTTTTGTTCATTTCGTCTGCCGTGCGCGAGGCCCTATGCTACCTTGATCTCGTGTGCGGCATCGAGTCGACAAAACTGCCGTCGCGGGCAGCCTGACAGAAGCGCATTTACCCATATTTCCTAATTGGTTGTCCTTCTATTGTTTCGACTTTCAAGCAAGTGCTCTTTTTTTTTTTTTCTTTTCTTTTTTTTTAATTAAGTGAATGTTTTTTTTGGCTCCGTGCTTTTCTTTCTTTCTTTCTTTCTTTTTTTCTTTCAACAAAACCGCATCAATTCCGCATTACCAAAGAGATTTGGTGCTGGCCACCCCACATGCAGTCCGGAGCTGGGAGCATTACCCAGTTTTGCTTAAGAGTAACCTGCAGAAACAAAACCACCTTTCCCCTGTTTTTTTTTTTCTTTTCTTCTAAAACAGAACCTCAGAGTTCACCACCTTTCTCCTGTTTTTTTTTTTTTTTTTTTTTTTGTTGTTGTTGTTGTTGTTGAAAAAACTAATCCATATTCTTCACTCATATACCTCACTCTACCAACCTACCTACATCTATGTCCAGTTTTCCTCCAGAGGATGCTCAAGGTTATGGGTCGAGTTTCCATCCTTCCCAGCCTACTCTGTTCTCTGTGGGGAGCAGTACCCTGGCTTCTAACACCTGGCATGAGCTGGGAAGCCTAACTATCTTCCACAACCAGCCAGGGGGCCCAAGCCAAATATCTCTGCTGGTGAGGCCGTGGGGGATCGAATGGATGGCGTGGGGTATTGAACACACGACCTCCTGCATACAACGTACATGATCAACCAACTGAGCTAGCCCACTTTGGAATCACCTTTCCTCTTTTACTTTTGAAGTTTTCCCTTTTTTCCACATTTCTTCAATTTCTTGAGAAAAAATTGCATGGCAACTGCGGATAGATGGCCCCCCCGTGTAATAGGCTCCTATCAATCCTTGGTTCCACACTCTTTTTTTTTTTCCCTCTTTTTTTTTTTTTTTTTTCCATGCAACATTGTGAGCTGGAATGCTCATATAGAGAAAGTAGTCCTGGCTTTCGGGCACTTGATCCAATCCCCTTTGCTAGTGGGACCTCGCCCCTGGTATGGGTATGTCCTCGCGAGAAAACTACTCATGTTACCTTGCGCATGTGGCTGAATGTGACTGTTAAATTGTGTTGATGGTACATTCATGTATCTTTCACTGGACAGATCATCAGCTCAAACCCTGACGGAATCAGATTGATACCCCGCTCCCCCCCCAAATAAATAAATAAATAAATAAATAAATAAACAATTTGAAATAAATAATTTAAAATAAATAAATAAATAAATAAATGGTAGATAGGTACCAATAGAAAAAAAGTGATAAAAGAAAACTATGGCAGTGAAATGGAAAAGCTAGAAAACCACTGTTTTGTTGTAAATGGGTGTTAACATTATACCTGCGTGTTACATGGATGGTACCCACCATACTTGCAAGCAGACGGTCCGGTCCGGTCCGCTTTGCCGCGTGCGGCACTCTCCCCCCGGACCGGACCGGACGGGGCCTTTTTTTTTTTTTGTGTGTGTGTGTGGGGGGGGGGGGTCGGCGTAACTGGTCGTCGGGCGCACATTCGTATGCCGCGCGGGTCCGGTCCGGCGGTCTGCTGCACGTGTGGAACCGCCCGGACGGCGTCCGCGTGCAAGTATGGTACCCACGTCTCGGTGTCCACGAACTGTAATGTCAATCGCAAGTCAAGACTTTGAACCCTGTTGAATAGGGTAGTGATCTGGAGGCTTTTCTGTCTGAAAAGGAAGAAGCAGGGAAGAGGAGGAGCAGGATGGGTAGCCGTTTGCCCCCAAGAGGATAGGTGATCTGCCCCCATTTAGTATATCACCACTCCGACTAAGGCCTACCTGATTCCCCCGAACACAACGTACGGTCATTATGGCTGTGTATCTAGACTGACAGATGCCTCAAATACAGCTTTAACGACCGTAGGTTGTATTAGGGGGAAGAAGGTAGATGGTAGCTGGTCTTGACCATCAGCGGGCAGACGGCCGAAGCCCAGGGATGAGGGAAGTAACATGAGAAAAGAATAACAGCAATAAGATAAGAAAATAAGAATGAGAATACAAAAAACTTGAAAAAAGAAAGGAAGAGAAGAACCCAAACCCGGCGGCTGAAACGTAACACACATGTAAGCTAAACAGGGCATGGGTAAGAATCACCATGGGATCTATTGGGCACGATTGTGTAAGGGACTAACCTCCATCAAAAGAGGGAAAAGAGAGAGAAAGAAGAATGATAATACAAACAATATGTAAAAAGGACTATAAACTTGTAAAGTCCTCTGGGAGATCCGTTAAAAGGATTGGAACGATACAGAGAAAGAAGATTAGCATGGCCCCTGCGCTTTCAAGGATGACACGCATAAATCGAGAAATGGTCCAAAAAAAAAAAAAAAAAAAA